TTCCTCCTGTCAAGAAATATTTATATGATCGGGGTTTACAAGAGAAACTTGTTGACAAAATTTGCTATTTAATTGTGCATGAGCTTTCATAACCAGATAGTATGCGTACATGTGACATTTGTATGATTTCTTGCCAGAAGAACTAAGTTCATGAACCTATTCTTTGTTGAATGAAAGCTGATTGCCAGCATCTCATCTGCATTTGCTACATGTAACATGCATATTATGTGTTTGGATAAATCGTGCTCATATATCCGATTCTTGTCATATTGAGTTTTTTTATATAAAGGGTTTGAAATTTTAAAAATCCTCTTGGGTTTTTAGGGGTTTTAAGTGTACATGAGATAGAGATTTAAGAATATGTACTGAAAATATATTATACCTACCGTCTTTAAGAAAAAAGTTTCTTGTGATATTGTAGTCAATTGTATTTATGTAACATATTTGTAAATTTTAGTATTATATCTCCACTAACGAGGATTTCTTGTTAACCGTAATGTTGAATTTGCCAATGCATGGTCATGCTACAAGATTCAGAGAACAACCCTCGTGACTTATAACTGATTGGTGTTTTGTTTAATTTTATATTCTTTATTTATCTATATTTATTTCTCTATACTTTCTACGAAGGAAACTACGTTGTAAACTATCTGACAGCAAAGGTCTAGAGTCACAGTCTTTTGTGATTGGATTTTTAGTTCAGCTTTTATCTCGACTTGCCAAGTTTGGATAGTTTGATGATGACAAATTTAGAGATGTGGTTGAAGAATTAATTAACTCTTTGAACCAAGTAATTTAGATTTAAATGATGAAATGTGTCACAACCAACCGTTCTTTGTGCAGTCCTTTTCAACGCTAATAAACAATCTTCCTAACTAGCATAATGTTCTTCCGTAAATCAATCGAAGAAGTTGTGTGTGATGTATGTATTATATCTTGTTGATTTTGTTTGAATATTGTCAGATTCAAATGAAGAATTTATTCTTGGGAGTGTATAGTTAGTTTTGATTGACTATGGAAAAAGATGGACGTCGTCACTGGGAATCTATGCACATTTTATTTCTCTGTTTTCCTTGCCTTGATTTGCTTTTGACTAAGTTCTTGTTGTTGTCGGAAATTCGACTATCCCAATCGAAAGAACAAATAAAAGAGCAGGAAAAACGGAAAAAAGAAGAAGATAAAGCGAGGTATGCCAAAACAAATCTCCTTAAGACAGATTTCGTCCCCCAACAACGTGCAAACGGGATTATGGACGTCTGTCTCCCAAGATACAACGCTTTTCCCAAAATCGATATTGCACAATACCAACCTTGACGGTCGAACCAAATAATGATCGTACTCGAATGAAATAATCACGAAAATATCGAAGGAATTTTAGCAGAATATGGAGTGTGAAGAATTTAGAAATCAAGAATATATTAATTGATTTTTGGTGTCCAAAAAACAAATTTGGAGGTCTCTATTTATAGAGATTGAAGTGTCTCCTTGAAAAGGTGTGTAACATTTCATGAACTGGTGCACCACTTGATCTGATCTGTTTTAGCCATTGGATCGCACTCTTTCATAATCACACATCCCACTATATAAACAAGTCTATTTTCTTGTAAACTTTCGATGTGGGATTCCTTACCATATATAAGACACTTAAATGAGCTTATAACATATGGGCCTATATTGGAGACTTTTCCAATTCACCCAAATTAATTACAACGGCCCACATCATTANCTCCCAATAACACCGTCAGGGCAAAGAATCCTATACACTATCAGTTCATCATTACCCTTCTGGTCTCTATCTCTTTCTCTATCCACTCGCCTCTTTTGGTTCTTGCTATCCACGTCATCACGATGAGAACGAAAGCGCTTCCCATTTCCACCCATTGCACGCTACACAAACTGTCCCCTGAATGCATTGAAAAGCAATTCCAAACTTTAGGTTGAATCAAAATCAGAAGGAAAAAAATTGCAACCAAAATTCACAAAAAATAATAATTAATATAAAAAAATTATAAAAGAAGGAAACTTTTTTTTCCCTTTCGCTCTTTCCATATCAAGCCCCTAAAGTTTCACTTTTTGTTCCCATTTATCAGAGTTTTGATCTAAAACGGAATAAACCAAAAATGTCTGGAATTTACTACTCCATCCATAGTGCTAAAATACACATAACTATTTATGTATAATGAATCACACAAAAAATACAAAATATATTAAATGTATTATTTCACGTACAGGCAGAAATAATAGTGATCACTCAAAGGGTTCTTTACCTTCAAAGAGAAAAAATTCCAGAAACCCTTAGGTAAAGTAACGAAGGAAAAGCCCTCGTCAAAAACCTAATTAGCGACATTGCTGCGAGCAATTAGTCTAGTAGAATTGACGTATAAAAACCTAATGAACAACAATAGTACCTGGTCAAATTGTAGGGTAAACCCTCGCGAAAAGCGTCTGCGCAGGTAAATTTATAAGTATATAGGGCAAACGACAGTGTGTGAGGAGTCCGGTGACGGAGAATGCAATATTGGAGGCGGCAGCAGCCTAAGTACGACTTGAAATATTTATTTAGTGGAGACCAT